GCAGGGACGAGGGCCACCCACAGGGAAGCAAACATGTGCGCGTCGCTGCGTTGCCGCGTCGCGTGTACCAAAGCAAACGGTATTAACTGTAATGGGCCATCGCGCGGCTATCCATCAAAAAGGGACGCGCCGCGCACCGCCCGATTCAAGTCCACCGCGGCGCCGCTCCGTCAAAGTCGCCGTGCTGCAGTCGCTCTGTCCCTGTCGCACGCGCGGGCCGCTCCCACGAAGGGTGGCGACTGAGAGAGAAAGAGAGAGCATGGATCAGACTGCGTCGGACAAGGCGCCCCTCGGCCCGGCATTGGAGAGTTCATTGACGAATCAATCCGCGCGCGCGCGCGCGCGCATGTGTGTGTGTGCGTGTGTGTGTGAGAGAGCGTTAGGCTGATGAATATAATGGCAGGAAGCCATCACTCTGTGTGCGTCTGGAACGGAAATTGGTGGGGTAGGTCCTTGTTCTGGGCAGTGGCATCCCCGCCCAGCTCGGCCCAGCTGGGGTGGCGGCGCGGGCCACTGGCGGCCGCCACGCCGCCACGGCGCTACGGACTGCGAACACCGCGAGACGAATGGGTTGTCGGCCGGCTGGGATCGGATTTTCCGCTGAAAACACAAATACACGCGTCAAGCCGTTGTTTTGGGGCTACGTTGCGTGCGGCGTGCGTGCGGCGTGTCACAACGCAGCCGGGGCCACAGGTCTGGTCCTCCTCATCATCCTATGCATAGCCAGGCCTTCCTTTGCATAACGCTCTTGTGCTGGGTGCACGACGGCATCTGCCTACGCGACGAAGCACGCCCCGCGCCTCGTCAAACGCGGGTTCAAATACTGGTCTAGGGCTGTTTTTTGTGTTGTATTGTGTTTCGCTAAGCCGGAATGGTGATCGGGGCGCGTTTGGCTGAATGCAGGGGCTATGAAATGATTCCCAGGCCTCTGGCCCGTTGTCACTGTGGCCAGGGGCTTTGCTGCTGGCCAACAGACCATGTCAGCAGGGTGGACGCTGGCTGTTCCGGAGTCAGGACGTGCGAGTTCGCCCGGGTGACAGGGAGGGGGGGGGGGGGGGGGGTCCAGGTTGCGGCTGAGGTATGGGGCAGGGCCAGGCAGGGCAGGGCTAACCGCGGAGGACGGATATAAAGCCGTTTGCGAGAGAATAAATCGTATTGCGATTTATACACCGGGCATTGTGGAGTTTTTATTAAAATTACCGCCCGCGCGACCCGCGCACCGCCACAATTTCATTCCGCACGTTCGTGTATTTGTTGGTTTTTGCATCGCCCCCCTCCCACCTCCTCCGTATATTTTTACATGCCATGATCACCACGGGATTGGGGTGTGAAGCCGAAATTAAGAGCGCAGTGCGGACTTGGTGGCCGGGCCTGCCTGGCAGTGTTTCTGGCGAAGGAAGATAAATGTGTCCCGGCTGCCTGCAGCGCGGCGCAGCGCTCTAGCGCCACGGCATCGTTGCTGGCTTCGGGGGGAACAGAGGGCCCAATTATGTCGTTGTTGGTTCGGATGAGGGGCCATTTTTCAGATTGACCCGGGACCTACTTTCCGCGGTGAGCGGCGAAACTCTGAAACAGAGACAACGACGGCGTCGTGCCCCTCCTGCCGGGTGGCGTCGAAGGCCGCAGCCAGCAGTAGGCCGATTCCGAGGGTCACATTGTCTCTCTCGCACCTATATTGGACGCCCCGTGAGTGCGAGAGAGACAGAGCGAGGAAACGACTCTCGGAATCAGTCTGCAGTGAGCCCAAATCCGGGGCGGATTTATCGTGGTGGTGCAGCAGGGCTTGCAGGGCGTGGAACACCGCGGGGCCGCCAGGCAGAGCAGGCAGGCAAGTCGGGCGGTGACAGCGCCGCGCCATATTGCCAAGCATTGCGAAGCATAGCGAAGCCTGTCATCCGACCTGCGCTGCTCCGCCTGCTCCGCCTGCTTCGCCTCAGCGCCATTCCGGCCGCCGAACACGCCGCAACACGCCTGTCTGCGAGCAGCCGCCGTCGAGGCAGGCTTGCCGTAATCGCCAGCGCGGATTTATTTACCGTTTTCCGTTGCGTTTTGCTGTTGTTTTCTCCAGCCGGCTGGCGGTGCGTTTCGCCTTTGCGGCGCCCGAGAGGCACTTTGCAGTGTTGCCTCGTCGTGGCGCCCTCCCGGGGTCCTCCGCGAGTCCTCCGCCGGACGCCGCGACGCAGCGGGGACAGATTGGCGCGCATCACGCGATTCCTCGTGGTGGTGGTGGTGGTGGTGGTGGTGGTGGTGGTGGTGGTGGTGGTGGTGGTGGCGGCGGTTGTGGCAGCAGCACGGCGGCGAGGTGTTGACCGCGAGGCGATTCTCGGCGAGTCACGCCACCGCGCCACCGCGGCGGCGGCACAGTGTGCGCCCCGGGACGGTAGTTGATTGTCTCGTTTGCGACGCGGGGGCGTCACGCGCGTGTGCAGAAGGGTGTGACCCCCCTGCCGCTGCCGCTTCGTGCGCTGCGGCTGTGCCATGGCGCCATGGCAGCGGCGGTCGGCACGGAACCGCACGGAACGGTCTATTATTGCCGATGCACTTTATTGGGGCGGGGACACAAAAAAATAATATCTTGGGGAGAGGAAGAGGGGTAGGGGAACCAACGACAGTTTGGTGCCGTGATAAAAAAAAGAAGTGTAAACAAAAGCAAAAAGTGTCAGAAGACACCCTTTCGTTTCTAATGCGATAATGTGAGAACAGTCTATCGAAACATCAATGGGTTTGCGGTCAGTGCGACCAAAATGTGTTCATGAGAAAAGTTAGCGTGCCGCGTCCGGCCGGGTCACCCTGCCTGTCGGCACTGGAGCGCCTTGGTGCTGTCGGTGGGCACCTGGGGCACGGCGCGGGCAGGGCGTCGCGCCCCCTCCACCGCGGTGTCACACGCTAGGGCCTCTTGGAATAATCGTCTGGAACGCACGCCGCGGCCCACAAGCGTTTCGTCACCCCGTCTCTGTCGCTCCTGCCCGGACGCCTCATGAGTGCGAGAGAGACAGAGCACCGAAAGCGCTGTTCGGCGACAATGCCTCCGAAGGAGGGCACACTCATTGTGTGGCCTCGACCGCCACACCGTCACGGAACGAACGCGCCCCGGACAAATCTTGCCGCCCCTCCCGGCGCCTTCTATAGCACCGGTGGTTTTGTCTGCTGCGGCGCTAAAAAAATCGAAACAATTATTTCCGTTCCGGCTTTCAAAAAAAAAATGCAAACACAATCTTATCGCAGTGCCGCATGCGGTAGCTTTCCAGCCGCGAATAACCCAACCACTTCGCATCGATATCAATGTGGGGAAGTGGTGCGATCAGTAAACAATGAGCACAATGCTGCGTTACGCCGAGTGGGCGAGTGTGTGTGTGTGTGTGTGTGTGCGTGTGTGTGTGGACACGAGGCCCTCCCACTGCATCATCACGATCCCCCTCACCTCTCCCTTTTGACACTTCTTCCTCTTCCCCAGTCACTCCCCGAGGAGGTCGAGAACGGGGGGCATTCACGTCTGCTGATCTGCCAATCTTCGCCCTCCCCGTTGTAGTGCCGCGCTATAGCCGGCTCTGAATCCACACCCCACGCCGCGCGGGGCCGCGCCCGGCCTCCCTCGCAGGGAATGCGGGGCGATGGCCAGGGCCGGGCCGGGGCCGAGGGCTGCCCTTGCCCTGCCGGCCGCCCTCCGAGGGATGGAATGGCTGGATATATATAGGAGGAGAAGGAAGCGGCGCGTCAAAAGTGAAAGGATGCTTTTCAGTGCCTATCGCATCGCAGCGAGCATCGCAGCCTCCCCGCCGCCTCCCTCCGCCCCGCCACTGCTCCTCGGATTGCTCTTGTTAAGTATTCCGGATTAAAGCGCACGGTCTCCCTTCTTGCGGCCTGCACTGCCGGCATTTTCATCACGCGATTATAGTCGAAATTACGATTCCGGCCGCCTGTGGAGGAACACGGCCTGAATCGAAATAAAAGACGCGCGCCTCTCCGGGCGAGGCGGCCGCTGCCTTGGCCGGCCGCTGCCTTCGCCGGCCGCTCTGTCTCCCTCGCGCTAATGGGACGTCCCGTATGTGCGAGAGAGACGGAGCGACGCCTCTCGGAATCAGTCTGCTGCGCAGCGCCCGAGGGGCTGGCCGACGGACCTTCCGCTCCACCGTACCGAAGGCCAGCGTCCCAGCGAGCCCTGCGCGGCCGCCAACACACCGGCCCAACTCCTGCATCACGCACTGCAGCGAGGCATTAGTGCTAAGCCCGTGAGCCTGCCCACCGGCCGGCCAACAGGTACGGACTGCTGCTGCGCTGCTGCTGCGCTGCTGCTCCATCTCAATACCAGAGTGTCACTTTTCCTCGTTACAGTGTGCTAGAGGCCAAGCCAGGCTGCAAGCCAGGCGGGCGGCAAGCCGGGCAGCCAGCCACAGTGTGCCTGTTCATCCTGACGGCGAGGGTGCGGCCCGGCGGCCCTGCGGCCGTGGCGGGCGGACACTCCCGCCTTATGAAGACACACGCCACCCGCGGGAGGCCTCGAGAACCCCGAGGTCCACGCTATCATATTCCACGAGTGCTTCCCTACCTCTTTTTTTTCCTCCCCGTTTTTCGCTTTTGTTTTCGTAGCGCCACTCCCCACACGTCGGTGGGGCGCTCGCCCTTTCGAGAGGGACGCCTCCGCCTCACCTTTACCTCCCTTTTTTTCCGTTCTGCGTCTCGCCGGCCCGCCGCCGGCACTGGTTGCGTTTCGAGGGCCGGCCGGGCAAATAGCGAGTGACATCGGCAAATGTTTGCTGAGCTGGCGGGGCTGACGGGGATGGTGGGGCTGCCGCGAAGAGGGGAAACACAAAGACGGCGTGTTGTTTGGCCACCGCGCCGTAATCGGCTCAGCATGTGGACGTCGTGCTGATACACTGACTCCCATATTGCAAGCCACGTCGCGTATTGCTGCCGTCTGCGCCAGCCCGCCGGCCTGCACTGTTCCGATAACGCTGTCTGCTTCCCAGTGATTGAAACATATTCCTTTCTGCTGTCGACAGATTTGCCCAAGTTCGTGGGCTCCTTGAACAACGTCACCATCGCCGTGGGACGGGAGGCGCTGCTGACGTGCGTCGTGGAGAACCTGTCAAATTACAAGGTACTTTTTTACAGTGCACGTGTGCTTTTTTTTTCTTCGTGTCGGTCTCGGTACCTGGCGCCTCGCGCCGCTTTGTGTTGGCTCGGTGATGGATAGCGGCGCACGCGACCCCCCGCAAGCCACAACGCCCGCCAAGAAAAGATTTCTTTTTTGTTGTTGTTTTATTCTGTGTTCAAAACAATGATATCTCGGTCCGCAGGTGGCGTGGCTGCAGGTGGACACGCAGACCATCCTGACGATCCACGGCAGCGTCATCACCAAGAACCACCGCATCAAGGTGACGCAGACGGACCAGCGCACGTGGCAACTGCACATCCGCGACGTACGCGAGACGGACCGCGGCTACTACATGTGCCAGCTCAACACGGACCCCATGAAGAGCCAGCAGGGCTACCTGGAGGTCGTCGGTGAGCCCCGTTCCCCTTGCCCCGAGCAGTGGCGCCCGGCCCGGCGATACTCCGCGCGCCAGCCGCGCTGCGCTCCGCCCCGAGGCAGGGTGAAGCGCGCGGGGTATCGCCGTGCTCCCTTGCTGACCCGCTCCGCTGTCGTTTGCAGTGCCGCCCAACATCCTGGACGACTACCACACGAGCACGGACATGGTGGAGCGCGAGGGCCACAACGTGTCGATGCGCTGCGAGGCCACGGGGTCGCCGCCGCCAGTCATCATCTGGCGCCGCGAGGACGGCAAGAATATCAAGCTGGGCAACGGCCTCGAAGGTGGGAGCGCACACGGTTCGATTCATTGCCTGCCGTGTCTTTGGTCACCTGTTTCAACTTTGCGTTTGTTTAGAATCGAGCTTTGAGGGATCGCTGCTCACGATCCACCGCGTGGACCGCCTGTCCATGGGCGCCTACCTCTGCATCGCGTCCAACGGGGTGCCGCCGTCCGTCAGCAAACGACTCAAGCTCATTGTACATTGTAAGTTGAACTTTCTGTTTGCATCCACTGTTTGTGACACTCCTCTTTGTTTCACGTTCCATTTTCTGTTTCAGTTCCTCCCATGATCACAATCCCAAACCAGCTCGTCGGAGCAGTACAGGGTCAAAATCTGACGCTGGAGTGCATCTCTGAAGCTTTCCCGAAATCCATCAACTACTGGACCAGGAACGGTGAAATTGTCACAGCCGGTACGTTTTATACCAATATACAGCCCATGCTTGTTTCGTTTTGACCAACATTTCTATTGTTTCGTCTGCCCAGGTCCTCGGCACGAGCCCACCGTGTACGACAAGGACTACACAATCACGATGAGACTCCACATCAGGAATGTCCAAAAGATTGACTTCAATTCTTACAAATGTGTCTCGAAAAACAACCTGGGCGAGACGGATGGTCTCATTCAAGTGGAAGGTGAGTAAAATTCGCACAAGTTTGTGATTTTTTTAAAGGGAAGATTTGTCATGGTTGTGCTTCTTATTCTCCTCACAGAAATACTCCAGCCTTCTACGCCGATGACCACGTCCAGACCATCTCACTCAACGCATCGAAAGGGTAAACGAAGAAATTTCAAACCAAATTACCCCCAAAACGGGTTGCCTTCTAACGCTAATATTTTTCAGGTAAGAAAGGGACCCGCAAGGAGAGTCGGAACGACAACGAAGTGCACCCAGAAAACGACAATACTTCAGAAAAGTACCGCGGTGGTAAGGACGTCTCCCGTTGGCATAATCCGATGCACGCGGCGGAAGTCTGAAAAAACTTGATTTGTGTTGCAGACTTGAAGCGGACCGACGCGGACCTGACAGCGAGGGGTGGGGCGCACTCCAAGGCTGCCTTCTCTTCCGGGACGCCACGGACCTCGCAATTCCTCAATGGTATCGCGTTGAGTCTCATTTCCAGTGTATCCCTGGTTGTGCTCAGATGTTCCATTTAAGTTTTAAGTCAGAATGGCCCACCACAAATCTCCACTGCCCTGTCAGGTGAAATGAAAAACTAAGGGGTAAACTCAATAACGTTGTAATGGACTGGTTTGTTTAAAAACAAAAGCCCCAGTGGAAAGCTTATTGGTTCTGCTACCGCCGCCTGGGAGGTAGGCAACACAAGGCACCGGTGTGCAACAGGTTGCCTATCCTCGGGTTTGCAGGCGCTCGTCAGGAACTGTCCCTGTTTTACATATCTTCCAGTTTTTGTTGTTTCAAAGTGTTGGCGCACGCACATAGAAAACAAATTGTGTTACTTTAAGGCAGTTCTTGAGATTAATTGGATTACTGTATGTGTGTTTAACGAAAGAATGTACGAAACAGTCAGAATGTGCTTCCTTTATAGGTTGAATAATTAAAATAGCAGCAAAGTTTTATAAAATTTCATCCTTGCATTATTTAATAAAACACATTCGCATAATACTATCTTATACATTAGTAAACACAGATTCCCTAGCAGCACCTGAAGGCCGTTTCCGGCATTCCCATACACAAGTTTGACCGAGTCCCTTCCATTACAATGGACGCTGGAGCCAAAACAGAATAACCATGGTAGAGTACCAGCCAATGTGCTGCCAATGTACTTCCAATGTACTTGACTCTTGACTCGCTGCGCCGAGTCGCGAGGAGTATCGGCAAGAATCAACAAGTTCCTCGCGCGCGGGGTATACGCTATCATTTATATCCACTAGCAGACTAAAGTAACATATTCACACTTTTGATTGCATTTCCAAACTATGAAATTCGTTTCTGACGAATCATATGTCAGTCTACTCTTGATTAATCTTTAGACATCGTTTCAAAATGTTTTTTTAAATATTTCAATTCATTATAGAAAATAAGCTCATATTCATGCAAGGAGAGATAAGACCAAATCACAAAGATTCGGTTGATATGTAGGCTAGTCTTTTCATTCCGTCTGAAACAAGGGCAAAAAATCTATTCTGCGCAAGACAGCGCTTCTCCCTAGCAAGCCGTACTGTGAAGCAGTAGTCCGCAGTAGTCTAATTCATAGTAAAACGGATTCGCTCTTGACGAGCACTTTAAAGAGGCTCACGACCCCTATCAAATAGTAAATTTCTTCCCAGAGAAATTTCCTTGAGAGGCAAACAATGTACACGGTGCTCTGGAAACGTGTCAAGTTTTTTTTCCTGAGACTACTTATTGCTCTCTTTGGGATGTTCTAAAACTTCACACCCAGCAAATTTGTTAACATTTCATGAGAGAAATGTACGACTGTAGAATAGTTAACAAATGACAGTGTCTTGACAGAAACTAGAGATAAATTTTCTAATTTCGAATCTACTGACAGCAACTACGCAAGAAGTGAATAAGAGTAGATCTGCCATTTCGGTACCTTTCTAACAGCGGATTTTCTAACATCGATGGTATGTTCGACGCGAATTAAACTAACGCCATCCTAGCGACATAAGCATCCGAATGAGTATTTAAAAAGAAAAATAATGACTGCGGCCCCCCAATACAAGTACTCTTTTATCCGTCCTTTGAATGACATGTCACACCTAACACGCGCTATGGCACACAAAATATTAGCTAGCATTAATTTGCTGTTTTCTGAGCAAAACATTCGTGTACATCGTATAATCTTAGTCGGTAGGAGTACAGTTACTTATTTACAGCTTAAATACAAGATACTAATATAGTACCAACATCAAATTAGTCTAAAGTAAATTAAAAACTTCCGACTGAGTTGGGTAGGAGAGCTTAGCGCCACGTGGTTCTAGTGACAAATAATCTATTTACAGACAATAATCTAGTCAATTCAGGAGGTTCGGTAAAAAAAAACCAGACTAGCTCACAGCAATTCCATGTACCCGAATGCACCTATCATAGTCCGCAGAGCTCGTCGTCTTAAAGTACGGTGTATTTACAATCAGTGCCGCGGCGTCAGTCACAGCCTCGCAACGGGCTTGCCGCAAGAGATCCAAAGGAGGGAGGTGACGAGCAGGAAGACGTTGGCGGTGCCCCGGGGGGCGGGTGAAGACGACGCCGTCGACTCTTCCGCGTCGGGGATCTCCACGCTGTTCTCGCTCACCGGACGACCAAGATACTTTCCTGCAAAACAAACAGACAATGTGCAACTTTTATCTTCTTTCACAAATGAAGAGAAGATGTAAGGATCGAGTTTATCAAACAGATTGATAGCATACCTTTCGTGTGCTTGGGTAGTTTGGTGGAAGACAGGCCCCAGTCCGGAGTCTTGACGTCTGCAAACAGAGAAAATGGTTCAATTGGCTTTTGATCGTGACAAACAAGAGTTGGTGAAGCGAAGGGGGAACGAGACGGGGGACTCACGGTCGACTTTGATGCTCTGTTCGGTCTCTCCGAGGTAGTTCTTGCTCACACACTTGTACTCGCCCAGGTCCTCGAGCGCAACGCTTTTGATGGTGAGCCGCATGCTGATGGAGTACGCAGAGTCTATCGTTTCCGTCTGGTAACCAGGACCTGAAAACAGGAACTCAATATGAGAATTTTTCAAAGGTATCATAACAGTAATTTTTCTGGCCTCCCTGGAGGACTAAATATACATTTTGCACTCGCAAAGCCAAAGGGATTAGAAAACAGTCTATAGAGAAAAGGGTAAATGTTTGGAAGGTTGCTGCGTAGCTTGAAGGAAGAGCATTGCTCAAGAAGAAAAGGGACGAAGAAAAAGTGAAGACTGGAAGGGCGGTATTATTTGAACCCAGAGTCGCCGAGAGTCCCTTTGGATGCTCCGCTAAGGAGCCCTTAGTGTCTCGCCGCCATCACCATGTGTCATGCAGACGACTTCACATCGCCGAGGTGGGCCGGGGAAGGGCGTGCGTGGCTCCCAGAGGGAAGCCCATCAAGAAGAAAGGAAAGCGGAAGAAAAGAGGAGGGAAACGTAGGGAAATACGCGGCACTGGTTTTCATTGACAAACGCGGCCGGGGCAAGATCGCTGTAGCAAGAAATTGTTATTCGTGTCGCGGTCTGGGGGCCCAGGGCAAGGCCCAGGGCCGAGGAGGGACCAGGGCCAGGAGGCCCCACCGGGACGAGCACCAAAACGTTCTGATTGAAGCTATTGTCACAAACGGGCACGCCTCCTTGGCCGCGTGTGTTGGGGAGTGCGCACTCACACAGACACGCGCACACATACAGAGTCGTGGCGAAGTAACAAGCGAGCGACGTTCCATCCCCCGGCGCGCAACGCTGGTGTGAAGACTGGATGACAGTCTGATGGCTCCTGGACGGCACGGCGATTTGTCGGATTCGACTCACCTTTGACGAGCGTGTTGTCCCCTCTGACCCAGTAGTTGATGGACTTGGGGAAGGCCTGCGACAGGCACTGCAGGACGAGCTGTCGGCCCACACGCGCGCCGACCAGCTGGCTGGGGACCTCGATCACCGGCGGGACTGCAACAGAAGAAAACATTTTGAAAGGTGCGTGGTGCGCGTGGCGTCTGCCGCACTGGCTCAGAGTTTCGCACTCGCCTCCCATCCATCGGCACGGGCCGACGTCCCGTCACGGGCAGAGAAAGAGAGCGAGAGGGACACAGACAGACGGACAGACAGACAGAGAGGGAGAGGGCGCCTGTCTGCAGCAAATCATGACAAACTGGCCTCCGCCTTTACAGCCGCACTGCAGCCTGCAGTGCGCGACGTGGCGCCGCGAAAACAAAGCCCGACCACCTTGATCACCGCCAGCCGCAGTGTTGTTGTTGTTGGACTTTAATCCCGAACTACGACGAGGCGTCCTCAGAGACAGCGCGCCGCGCCGCCGCATATTCGCGGACGAACAAAAGATCAAAGCGTTGGTCTTTCCCATCCGAATCGCGCGCCGAGTGCTGCCTGCCAGCCCCGTCTGCCCCGCCTGTCTCGCGCGGGCACACCGCGGCGGCCGCAGTCGTGGCCGCGCTGGCATTCCTCTGTGACTCGCCCCACGCCGCCAGCCCCGCCAGCCCCGCCAGCCCCGCCAGCCCCGCCCGAGGTGTAACATTCCCGGAATGAACATTCAACGGCGCCATTATCAAAAAGTGGCGCAAACAAGGGCGGGGGGAATGCGGCCTGGGAGGGGGAGGGAGGACGGCGTCGTCGTCCCCTCGGCCTCCTCGGCTTTCTCCGCGAGGAATTCGGAAGACAACAATCGCGTGGCCAATCGCCGAGGCCTCCAAGGCCGTCGTCGTCATGGCCGTCGTCACGGCCATCGCTGTGTTCCGTGTCCCTCTCCGATTCTTCGGCCGCCCCATGTCTCGGCCCGGCGCCGCCCCGCGCCGCCCCGCGCCGCCCCGCGCGTCCCCACGGAGCTATCAGCAGTTTATGTCTGTAAAATTATTCCAATAGAGGAAGGGGTGCATCGGAGGGGGAGGGGTGGCGTTCGAAGGCCAGGGTAAAAGAAGGCATAGGAATAAGACACAACACGAGGGACGGGGAGGAGTGACGGCACGCCGTCTCGCTGAGGGCGCGAGGAAAAACAGGAGTCCAGCCGGTGAAGGGAAAAAAGAAAGAAAGAAAAAGGTAATGTGTACTTACATTCGACGGTGAGGAAAATGCGCTTGCTGACGGACGGGGGCACTCCGTTGGAGGCGATGCAAAGGTACGCTCCCATGTGCTCCCGGGTCACGCGGGGAATCGTGTAGTTCTGGCCCTCCACCGCCATCACTGCAACAGGAAACACAGTCACGGTTCCATAATTTGCCAACATTTCAACAACACAATGGGCCTGAAGTGTTTTTTTTCTGTCAGTAGCTTCGTGACCACACATCCCCTAGTGCAGCCAAATTAAATTCCCCCTCGACCTTTCAGGAGCCGCAAGTTGCTTCGCCCAAAATGTCAGCAAACACATGATACGGACCACTTTTCCTGCACGTCGCCTCGTCTTTTTCATTTTTTTATGTTGGCCACGCCGCAGCGGGGAGCCGCTACGACGACACTGCGACACACTCGGGCTGCCTCGCGAGGCCTGCGAGGCTCGCAAGGAGCCGTGAAGGTCACCGCGGCGAGGGAAGCAGAAGCTCGTAAGCTGGAAAGGCTGAGGAGCCTTTGCCAGTGTGGCGGCCCTGCTGTGCTGTGGACTGATTCCGAGACTTGTTTTCGTCGCCACTCTTTCTCTCTCTCCCTTGCACTCATGGCGTCCCTTATAGGTGAGAGAGAAAGTGACGAAAATGACTCCCGGAATCAGTCTACTGCTGCGCTGCTATCGGGGTGTAAATCTAGATCCACTGGCGGCGGTGGCAGTGAGCAGGCCCTCCGAAGGCAGTCGGGATAATGAATTCCATGTTCATCAGCAGGTGCCTGGTGTCATTAGGGTCCGCGCGGCCAACGACACCCCGCGCGGCACGCGACCCCGCCGAACGGACGACGCCTTGAGCGCCTCGAGCACCGCGATGAGCAGCGGGGCTTTGGGCTGCCGTGTCCTTCGGGCTGGAAGGACGACTCCGCACTCAGCCTGGCGCTTTAGTTACAGAACGGCTTACTTCCAACGACAAATTTGTTTTCTGGTTTAGTCCGTTCGTAAAGCAAGTTTTTCCTACAGAGGCCGGCAACCTTTCGCATGTTCCGCATAGCCTTGCTATGTGCGTCGCGCGGCGGTGCGGCAGTCTTCGACACGGAAGCGAGCGCCGCGACGACAGGCGACACGGCCGCCGCATTAGCAGCGTGCGAGGCTCGCCATGAATAAAGAGGTGCCGCTGTGTCCCACGCCGCGTCCTCGCCGGCCGCTCGGCAGATCCCCGCGGAGCCGCGGAGCGGATCACGTGACACCTTCCAGTGCAGCAGTACAACACAACACTGTAGTCGCAGCAGCTGGCCGCAGGGCCTCGCACTGCTGCAACTTGAGGCACGTGACTCACCCCCTTGGCCCTCCGGGCGGCGAGGGCGGTGAGGGAGGCGAGGGCGCGGGCAAAGCCATCGGCAAAGCCGGTGTAACGGCGCGGCGAGAACGCACGGCGCGGTTCACAAAGCCGGGCGACGACGACGCCGTCGCCACTCGGCGTGTTCGGTGTTCGTCAGTGGCGGAACACCGACAACAACAACATTCCAGCGCCGCAATCACTGCAGCCATGAAAGGGCACGGCCTGCCCGCCCGCCCTGTACAAGGGGTAAGCAGGGTGGTATCGGGGTTCGAAGGGCGGGGCGGCTCACGGGGCGGGGCGGGGCGGGTGGCACAGGGCTGCTATTAGTAACTACGCAACTTATCGGCGCCTTGTTAGCGACCGCCACACTGGGGTGGGTAACCGCAGCCGCAGCTGGGCGGGCCGCCCCGCCCCGCCCCGCCTCCTCCTCGGACCTGGGGCTGAGCCCGCAGCAAAACGGCGAAAGGCGATCGGAAGCAGCGAACCGGAGACTCTCAGGGCCGTCCTTGATGAGCGGTGCAGCAGACTGATTCCGAGTGTCGTTTTCGTCGCTCTGCCTCTCTCATGGGACGTTCCGTGTGTGAGAGGGACAGACCGGTGAGAACGACTCTCCGAACCTGTCTCCTGGCAGCGTGGATTCAATTAGCCGGCCGGACGATCTGGACATTTGTTTTCGGGGAATAAACGTGTACCGCGAGTAGCTGCGGCGCCGCCCGCCGGGCCATGGCCGGGCCGCGCTAATGCCTCCAAGTTGGAGTGCAGATCCGCTATCGCTGCAGTCGCGGTGTGCAGCGGGCGGCAGGAAGCGAGTCGAGTTACATTGAGGGGGAGCGAGAGATGTGCGATCGGGGATCAGGGGGAGGGGGTGGGGGTGGTCGGCGGGGGCGCGGTGCTCGGCGACGACTTTATCTGGGATTATTACGTCGACGACGGCGCTGATGAAGGAGTGACGGCAGGGCCTCGGGCAGGACGCAAGGCGGGACGGTGCACGGAGGACCTGGTGGCGCGGCACGGCACGGCACGGCACGGCGCAGCGATCGAGGGTGAAAGTACCGCGAGATACAATCAGCCGCACGCGCCGTACCGCTATTTTGGGGAGTTTGTTGTTGTGAACGGGCCGCGACACGCCACGCCACGCCACGCCATGCCGAACTGGGTAATGACTGGCACTGCGTTGATGCGAGGGCGTAGCGCCGCGTAGCGTGAGTTCGGGAACGGCTCGGCGCTTTACACCCACACTGGAAAAAGCCCCCTTCGATTAACGTGTGGCGGGGCGGGCTGTCCTGTCCGATACCGGCTGTGTGTCTTTGTGGCGAGTTGCAGCACGGAAAAAAGGAATTCGTTGACCCAACGAAAATAATCGTTGATTCCGTGATAACCGAAAAAAATTTGTTTGAGTAACGAAAAGTTTGTTCACGTAACGAATAATTTGTTGGTATGACGAACAATTCGTTGGCGGAGCAAAAAAGTTAGTTGGAGTGACAAAATCATGACTGTGTTCCTTTGACGAATCTTTTGGTTGCGCTAAAAGATTATTAGTTTTGCCAACAAAAATTTCGTTACTCAAACAAAGTTTTCGTAACTCCAACAAATATTTTCGGTTATCACGGAATCAACGCTCATTTTCGTTGGGTCAACGAATTCCTTTTTTCCGTGAGTGTCCGCGCAAGCGAGGCGCACCACACCTGTTGCGGGACGCGTCCACCGAGACAGTGTGGCCACCGCGCCGGACCAGCATTTCCCACATCGATTGTCTACCCGTTCGGGCCGAGTCGGACCCGCCCCGACCCGCCCGACGCGTTCAAGTCTCTAGGCACCCGCGGGGGGCAGCTTGGCGACTCAACCGCCAATCAAGCGATTGTTGAATGTAACAGTTCTCGGGCGAGTTCACCTTTGTTTCTCCAGCCGAGCTCCGCCCTCGGCGTCCCCTCGGCGTCCCCTCGCCCCGCCGTCCCTACACCCTACCTCGTACTTATCGAAAGGAAACCACCCCTAGCAGCCCTAGCAGCCCCGCAGCACGGTAAGCACGACGCGTTGTAATAGCCCCGACGTTTCTTTTTGGAACGGCGCCGTCCTCGCCGGACTGTTTATTTATACGGCAGCGCTGCGTCGCGGCGCGTCCGGCCGACGCACTGCACTGCAGCACTGCAAGTGGAAAGCCAAATTGGACGTAAAACGACTTTGTCAGAAAGAAATTGAATAATACCGGACATAGCCTTACACAGTGCAGGCCTATTGAAAGAAAGTTGGTTTTGTCTTCATGTGTTAGGTTTGCAAAGGATGAAATCGGATGAAATAGTTCTTACTACCCTCAAAGTACTTGGTAACGTTTTTACAGTGACGTTTGCTTCCTGAAGGATGTCATTACCAGTGTGTGGTCCTGCGCTGACGCCGCTGACTGAATGCGGGCTTATTGATTACATGCTCTCTTTGCCGCCAAAAAAGAGACAAAACCGACGTCGGGACAGGCAGCTGTCAATAAAATCACAACCCGACACTATACTGTAATAACAATTTGCCGCGGTATCGAGATCGGCCGGGCAACAATGGCTTCCGAAGCGGATGCACGCGGGCGACAGTCCGGCGATAGTCCGGCGATAGTCCGGCGATAGTCCGGCGATAGTCCGGCGCGGGGACAGGCGGTGCGCCGCGACAGCAGCGACAGCAGCGACAGCACGCACGTCGTGTCAACAGGACGCTCGTCATTTAGCCGATTGTCACCCGGCCCGCCCGACCACGCATGGCGCCAGTCCGGCCGGGTGATCTCTGATCCCTGATTTCTTTATTGAGTGTGTTTTGCGATCGTCGCCCCAGATAGTGCTGGCGCGGTGCCACGCCACTGGGAGGCCGGCGGCTGCCGAGGGCTGCCGGGGGCAGCCGGGGGCTGCAACGTGAATGCAGAGCCAAGCAACCACCTTCGTGCCAATCAAGGCCGTCTTCCTTATTGATTGCCCGTCGGGGCGAAGCACGGCGAAGGCCGCGGAGGCCGTGAGGGCCGAGGTGGCGAGTGTACTGCAGGCCTTGCACCGCCTCGCCGCCGTGCGCGGGCTGAGGCGTCGGATCCTGCTAACAATCCATTAGCGCCTCACGCGAAGGCAGCGCCGCGCCGCGCCACGCCAAGCGGCCGCCCCACTTCCAGGGCCTGACAAGCTGGCGACAGGCGGGGGGCAGGCGGGGGGCAGGCGGGGGGCAGGCGGGGGGCAGGCGGGGCGTGGTGCAGCACCGCGACGACACAAGGTCGAGACGACGCAGTGAGCAGCGTGCGGCTTGCGGGACTCGGCGACCACTGCAGACTGGTTCTGTCTCTGTCGCACGGAGGCGGCCCACAAGTCCTACCTTCCTTGCCCGACGGCAGGTACAGCGGCGCGCCCCCCTCGCGCTTCCACGTGATGTTGGGCTGCGGCGAGCCGTTGGCCACGCAGCGCAGCGTGGCGTTGCTCAGCTCGCGGACCACGAGGTCCGTGCTCGTCGGGTAGTCCAGGATGTCCGGGGGCACTGCAAAAAACAACAACAACATCAGAAACAAGCGGAGAAAAGGGTGCACGGTCGTTATTTAGATAGCGAGGAAGATGAGGTTCGCCGCAACACGCGTGCCGCGCGAGTCTTTAAGCAGCGCCGCACCACAGTATTACTCATCACGAATGAGGAAGGGTAAATAGGCGGGACGGGGCGAGGCGGGGCGGGGCAGGGTGGGGCGGGGCAGGGCGAGATGGGCGGCTTACACAAACGGAAGCCAAAACCTATCCTCCCCTAGCATAAGCCGGCTGCTGCTTCGTTACCTCAACCCCACACTCACACCCCCGCGACGACTCTCCCTCCCTCTGCCTCCCTCTGCCTCCCTCCCGCTGGGCCCGCGCTGCTGGAGCAACGCCGAGGCGTTTGCCGGCGCGCGTGCCCCGTGATCGGATCGCCTCCTCTCCGTCTGAAACAATATTCAAACCCTTTCCTTGCGGTAGAGAGGTGATCCGCTCTAACCCCACCCGCCCCGCTCCACCCCGCTCCACCCCGCCCCACCCCGCCCCACCCCGCCTCCCGCCGGGGCCCTTGCCGCCCCTCCTTAAGCCCTGACTGCTCATTTCCATGCTATTACAGTAATCGAGAGTCCCCCAGGCCCTATGGTCCACGCCGGGCGGGCCGGGCGGGCCGGGCCTCGGGCCGGGCAGGACGAGTAGGGTCGGGCTGGGCAAATAGAGCCGTGGACGGCCCGGCCCGGCCCGGCCCACGCGGCCAGTCTGGCAATAATCAGGCAGGCCGAAGGCGAGCCGATAAGGAATCCATTATTATCATAATGCCACTCGGCGGGGCTCGGCGACCATTCACCTGGCATGTAATGCTGTGCTGCTTTACCCGCTTTCGTTGAAACCGCGTGGTTTCAATTCCGACCGATTCGAAAGGCAGCCAGCGCGGCACTCCGTAACGAGGCCTTATCTATGCGACCGTAATCGCGGTCCTTTTCGCGGCGAAAGCACCGCCATCTCTCTCGCACTCACAGAGCGTCTCGACGGGTTTCGAGAGAGACAGAGCGATGAGGTCGTCCACCGTCCTCATCCCGTCTGGTTAACCTCAGAACGAACGGCTAAACTGCGCGTAAGTGGTAATATCGTGTAAACAAAGCGCGGCGCGCCGACGGGGACAAAACTTTGGCGCGGCATTGCGGCGCTGCGGCATTCAGACGAAAAGCCGTCCCTGTTGATCTACGCCCTTCGCCCCTCCCGCCCTTCAGTTCCTCGGGGGCCGTCAGGGCCGTCAGGGCCTTCAGGGAGGAGGGCGGCGCGGCCCTGGCCATTGAAGCACCGCGATCTTCGCGCCCAGCCAGCGTTCGCATCACACCGCCCGGGGAAACAAAGACAAAAAAAGACGGGAGCCGATTTGACGTACCTAAATATAACTTGCCCAACCTATTTTAACCTTCCTAAATAAAAATAGTAAATTAAAAAATTCAATAAAAATATTGGCATATTTCAGCAACGGGTAGGTCAAAACCGAGGGCGGTGCACCGATGCACCCCGCTACCCGGGTGGAAGGATCTATAGTGAAACTGCAGTTTAAACTGTAGTGCCAAAACTACAGTTCCTGAACTGCAGTTTTTGGTAAGAACAAAGTGCAGAATAAGTCCAGTTTCAGTTTGCTCATGGATCTGTAGTTTGCTGTGTATGCAAACTGCTTTCTAACTGAACTGCTATTTATTGACCAGGTATTAAGTATTATCTGCAGTTAAAAAGTGAAGTTAAAAGTTTTTTAATACTACTCTACTTTAATAGTCCACTACTGAAGATCCGCCTTCACTTATATCTGCAGCAGGATCTACAAAGGAAATAAAGTTTCTGCTCATACCTTTTTACACAATGACAAACTAGTTGAATGTTTACAACAATTTGTAGTAATTTTTCAATTAAGGCATAGTTTAAGATGTCAAGCACTGCAACTTGAAATGAAGAAACAAAAACAATTACATTGAGTGATTAAAATAATATAAGGATTGAAAAGGAAATATCTCTTAGAAGTTTCAGTTATTTCTTTTAAAGGTTTACGTTGAAATACTTGACGTTGCAGACTTTTAGAAGACACGACTAAACTTTCATATAAAAACCTATATGGCTGGATGTAACCAATTTTTAAAATACTATCTGGTTATCTGTTTGCTTATTTTATAATGTTCCGTATTGGTCAGGTAGCATGTGACAAAGTATCGTGGAAATCAACAAGCCACAAAATTTAGCCAGCTTGACGCCAAACAAGGTCAAACTAAGTGGCATCAAATTCATTATGACCGGATGATAAAATGTCAGACACAAGTAAAACTAGAAAGCATTATAGGACAGTGCGTCTCAGAAGTTAAAAAGGTAACGACTCCAGTCGTTGAAAATTAAGACCTTGAAGGCTCTCTGAATTAAATCACTCCATGGTGTCTTGGTTTCTGAGACAAATTCATTATAAATTACATTTAGGACAAGTGAATTTCACTCCCAGTACAGAGTGGCTTACAGTAAAACTGTAGTTTTCTAGCAGTTAAATTCTAGTTTCTGAGGAAAGCCGGCCTTTCCATGTGGTCGAGTAGCCAAGCCCCTGTCCACAAGGAAGCTCAGTAGTGCAGTGGTCAAGGCCTCTGCTTCACAAGCCATGGGTCCGAGGTTCAACTCCCGGCAACAACCAAACCAAACACACAATTAACATGAAGTCAATCACCTAAGGGGTCAGAGGGAGGAAGAGTCCCCTCAAAACAAGGTTCAAAAATTAAAAATTTTGAATTTTGAACCAAAATTTGAAACTGCAGATTGTCTTCTCTTTTGAACTAACTCTGGCTGTGTAATTAAACTACAGTAAAACTGTACTTTGAACTATAGTCAACTGATCTGAAGACTAGGACAACCTGGGTCAAAAACTATAGTTGTCCGAAATAACTGGTAGTTTTTTTGCAGTTTAATTGTAGTTTACTACACTTCAACTGTAGTTGAACTACACTTTACCTGCAATTACACAATACATTACAGTAATTTAAAGTATGAAAAAAAGTATTTAAAAATTAAGTTGAACATTACAAAAAATCTATATTTTTTCAATATAGTTTAAACTGCAGATCCTTCCACCCGGGTATCATCTTCCAGACATACAAAATGTAAAGAAAAATGTTGAACTCTACGCCCCCTCCTTTCAAATGTCGGGAAGATGATCGGCGCAGGACGCAGCACCTGCAAGGGCGAAGCGTGTCAAGATGAGGAGGACGAGGTGCAAGGCGGGGAAGACAATGAGGAAGGGGGAGGCATACACGCGGAGGGTGGCGGGGGAGGAGCAGGCGGCCCCGATCGCACGCGATGGTGCTAGTGATAAATGTGCGCCAGAGATAAACATATCGCAACACGGGCCTCCGCCGCACCCCGCCCCGCCACGCCCCGCCTCGCCCCGCCACGCCCCACCACGCCCCACCACGCCCTGCGCGAGTCACAAGGAGGCCGCCGGCAGGCCGCTGGCCAGCCCAAGGCACTCCTCGGGGAGGGGGCGGCTGGCGGTGACCCCCCCGAATCCTTTTCCCCGTCCGGAATCCTGGCGCATAAATTCCTGGGGCAACACTCGCGATGACATTCCCCCTTCCCTTTCCACTACACTGTGTCTTCGGCGGCACGCGCCAGGCGCACCCCTTCGCATGTGACAACAAAAAAAAACACCGCATCTGGTTTTGTTTTTGGTTCGTTTCTGTTGTACCGGCGCAGAAACGCCGCTGTCCGTGATGGGGCCAAGTAAGTGAAGGCGAGAATTGTGAAAGGTGGCGGGGCGGGGCGGGGCAGGGCGGGGTGGGTGGCAGCGTGTAATTAAGCGTGGCATGGTATTACTCATTGCTGATTGTGGCGCGTCCGCCCCGCCCCGCCCTGCCCCGCCTCACGTACTGCCCACGCCGTGCACTTCAAGCCGCCTTGAATAAGAAAGGCTGCAAGTGGGCTAGCCTCGGCAAGCCTGGGAAATGGCGGGGGTGGCTCGTAAACAGAACTGCACTTCGGGAGGGAGAACTCAAATATGCCGAAGAATGAGAAATGTCGGCACTGGTCCGATGCGGGGTGAGTGAGGTGCGCCACGTAAAACAGTGTTCTCGTCAATGCGAACATTCCACGATGCTCCAGTGAGTGTCCAAGGGGTTATCCACCTCAGCCTGCATACTGGAAAAAATCCGTAACTTGCTGCTGGACAATTCGTCCAAGCAGACTAAGTCGTTTTGCGGGTGGTAGAGTGCAGGCCCCGGAGTCCAGGCCCCGGAGTTTAGGCCGCGGAGTCCAGGCCCCGGAGTCCAGGACCCGGAGTCCAGGCCCCGGAGTCCAGGACCCGGAGTCCAGGCCCCGGAGTCTAGGCCGCGGAGTCCAGGCCCCGGAGTCTAGGCCGCGGAGTCCAGGCCCCGGAGTCCAGGACCCGGAGTCCAGGACCCGGAGTCCAGGACCCGGAGTCCAGGACCCGGAGTCCAGGCCCCGGACACGGGCCGGAGGTGCCACGCGACGCTCTCACCGCAGCTTTAGCGCGGTGAATCGATTCAAATTATCTCCATCAGACACCCGCACGCCGTGCCTCGCAGCGCCACGCGGCGTCACGCCACGCCGTGCCAAGCCGGGGTCCCAAACCTCGACGAAATGGCTGTCATTTGGGGCCTGGCGTGCCGGGTGACATTATTTGAAGGGCTCCATGCAGAGGTTATTACCCAACAAGGCCATCCAGCTTTTGTCCACACCAAACAACTCGCACTTCTGCACACTTCGGACATGCCAACTCTGCATTAAAATCGGCACCCGTGCGCCAAATTGTTTTTGGACATCGCCGCGCCGACGACGGCGGAAATTGTTTCTCCCGGTCACGACGACGATTTTCTCGCAGTGTCGGATCTTTCCTTTCTTCCCTTTTTTCGATTATGCCGAAGGGGAGTGCTGCAGGTGTACTTAGGTCAGGGATGTGTGCGCCAGCTGTCCACTCCCACGGCCGGCCGGTGCGTCGCTGCGTCGTCGCGTCGGGTTGTTTCCAGATCGGGGGCGTCCCTTAAACGACCAACCGACTGCAATCGCACGTTTTCGCCTAACGCACAAATTCTTTTTTTTTTGTCCAGCCTTGCTCCCGACTCGAGTGCCAGCAGCATAATTGTCTGTGTAGGTGGTTTATGCGCGGGGCAGGCGCAGGGTCTTCCTCTCGGGGTGGATGGCGGCGCCTCGGAGCAGGCAAGCCAGGCAAGCCAAGCGAGCGACTGCCGCCGGCGTGTCTGTCTGTTCGCGCACTGGCGGCACGGCGGCACGGCGGCACGGCTCCACGGCGCAGCAGGGGCACGTTTTACAGCCGCCCGTTTTAAACGTGAAGAGACATGGCGAATAATAAGCGGGGCAGGAATTGGGGCGTCAAGGCAGACAGCAGAGAGAGAGAGAGAGAGAGAGAGAGAGAGAGAGAGAGAGAGAGAGAGAGAGAGAGAGAGAGAGAGAGAGAGAGAGAAAAGGAGAGAGAGGCCATCCGCCGCGGCCACTTGCTCGACGATGACCGCCACGCCGGCCGACCGGCCGACTGGGCCAAGGCCGTCGCATCGTGTGCCCGGCGGGCGTTAGATGGCGTTAGACCGAACGCGGCGCTCTTTTTTCCGCTCTCCAGACAATGGCGTGGCGCGGCACGGCGTGGCACGCGGGGAGCGGTGGTCAGCAGGCCCGGTGTAGGGATTTAAAGCCTGGTAAATTTACCGGTAAGAAACAGTTATTTACCGGTAATTTACGGTAATTTACCCGGACCCCGGTAAAATAGGTAAAAAACGAGAATATTGAATTTTCGCGTATTTGTCTTCACCTTTTCGGTAATGTTTTCGTGTTTTCGTTTTTCGCGTTTTTGTTTCCGTTTTCGTGGTTTCGTTTTCGTTTCCCTTTCGACAATGGCGTGGCACGGCACGGCGTGGCACGCAGGGAGCGGTGGTCAGCAGGCCCGGTTGGTGCGGAGAGACCTGGACTCCGGACTCTTACTTCGGGCCGCGTCGGGCCAACGGCGCTCATCGGGGCGCTCAGCGCCTGGCAGGCAGGCAACACGCGACGTGGCTGTGCGCCGTGTTGCCTATCCACTGATCCGCGGGCGCGGCGTCGCCGCGCTGCTGTCGAGGTGTCCGATAAGGCTGGATGGGGACGCCGCGGACGGACGGCAGGACGACGGCCAGCCAGTGACGCGCACTTCCCGAGATTGCGACTTTAGAACAATCGGACCGTCATCTCATCCTGGCGGTCCTGGCCGTCCTGGCGGCCCGGCGGCATGGCCGAGGCGCCAATCCAGGCGGCACAAACTACAAAACACTCACCGACCACGTCCAGATAGCCCTGCTGGCTCTTCATGGGGTCCGTGTTGATCTGGCACATGTACCAGCCGCGGTCCGACTCGCGCACGTCCTTGATGTGCACCTTCCAGGTGCGCGGGTCGCTCTGCGACACGCCGATGCGGTGGTTCTTGGTGATGACGTGGCTGGCGATGGTGAGGATGGTCTGCGTGTCCACGCGCAGCCATGCGACCTGCAACAGGAACAAGTGTCTGCAGGAAGCTTTGTCTCTCTCGCACCTTTCCGGGCCGCCCCTGGCGGTGCGAGGGAGACAAAGCGGTGCCTCTTGAAACGGGACACGGCGCGTGCGGTCCGCTGCCCCATCCCCCTCGGGCCGCCTCGCCACGGCAGCGCGTGTCAAATCGCATTTCACGGATGCAGGGCGGCTGTTGTGCGGAGTGACGGAGATGGAGACGGAGTGACGCCACCCTTCTTTGTTTTCCGCGTTTTGCCGCTGTCAGATTCACCCCGTATCGGTTTCCGCCGCCCCGCGCAGCCCCGCCCAGCCCCGCGCCTTCCCCCAGGGCAGCTCTGGCCCGCATCGGCTGCACTGTCAGACACCCGACTGCACTGCGGAGGCTGGGGCAGACTATCGCGTTCACGCAAAAAATAATAAATGTAAAGCTACCAAAACAAAAGGGCTGGATTGCTAAGTTTGGATGCCGCATGTCACGCGTTACTTAAAATCCACGCAAAAAGGAAAAACACGACACCGCATGAGCCGGCGGGGTGCCGGCCGGCACGGCCTCTCGGGTGAATATCGGCTTCAGGCAGGCCGACCCGAGCCACTCAGTCCCCAGCGCCCTAAGACGGGTGAACTACGAACGGGCCCAAGGGCGCAGCTTCGACAAGCCGGCGCGTAGGGTACCGAACTTCATTGACCCGCCCTAAAGAGAAAAGAGAAACAAAAAGGAAAAAAAAAACGCTGAGACTTTTCTCAAGGGCACACCTGATTGCCGGACTGGCGTGGCGGTCCTTCGCCCTGCTTGCCCTGCTTCGTCCTTCGTCCTTCGCAACAGCAGCGCCATCATTACCCCGCGCAAGTGACGCCGCCAACTTTGGGGCTGACACCAGCAGATGGCACGGCCGGGCGCGGCCGGCACGGCGACACGGCGCGGAGCAGGTGAGCGTTGGCCTCATCGCCCCCGCTTAGGCCGCGTGAATATCGGAGCAACAGACAACAAACACACACACGCACAACACACACACACACACACACACACACACACACACACACACACAAGCACACACACACAAGCACACACACACGCGCGCGCATACGTGGGCCTTTGCCTCGTTCCTAGTAGGTGAAGGTCGCAAAGCTGATTGAAAACTGGGGAGCAGGAAGAGGAGGAGAACTAAAAACTCTCATCGGATAGAAAATTTATGGCCTGCTAGTCCACGGCCCTGCTGTGGACGACGACGGCAGCGGGAAGAGGACAAAGCCCCCCCCCCCCCCCAACCCCTTCATTTTCTTTATGTTTTTGCAATGGTTTTATTTTGGTATTGTGTGCACGCCTTTGGCTGATAACTACTACACCATGCAGGTTGTAGGGTGGCCCGATGGCCGTTGCAACTTGCAGCATTGCCGTGTTGTCCGAGCGGCGCAGTGTGTGCGTGTGTTTGTGGGTGTGTGTTTGCTCGCCGAGTTGACTCGGTTGACTCTGCCAGGGCCAGGCCCGAAGGCCCAGGACTGGTACTTGCAAGGGCCGCATCAGCGCTCTGCCGCCAGCTCGCTCCGGCTCCTCTCCACTGTCCCGCCCTTTCATTTGCGTCTTTCGTCGCCAAAGTGACGCCGAATCCCCGGGGGCTCGTGGGGCTCCACGTCTCGGCCGGAAACGGGCGGCGATTCATCATCACGGCGGGGCGGGGCGGAGCGGGCGGCCGCTGCCCATTGTCACGCGCCTTATTATGCAGACGCAATGCCGCGCAATGCCGACGAGCCACTTTGAAGCATAAATCAAGAAGCATCGACGCTCACCTTGTAGTTGCCCAGGTCGTCCACGAGGCAGGTGAGCACGGCCTCTCTGCTCACCGGCGCGGACTCATTGACGATGGGCGCGTGGAACCGCGGCGGGTTGTCTGTAAACAAGAGAACGGTACCAGAAATTATTCAGAGACACATGCTGCTGTCCTGCTGCGCCGGCCGCTGCTGTCCGTTGGACGGGGGAGCGCGCGTCGTGGAAGGAGGGGGTTGGAAGGGGGAGGGGGGCGTTTTTCCACTGTTGTCTGCCTAGATGAGGTGCGGGGGAGCGAAGCCGTCTTTGTGCGGGCGGCCCCGCCAAACCCACCAGCCAGCCCGGGCCGAGGGCAGGGCCCGCCAGGCAGGGCCCGCCAGGCAGGGCCACCAGGCAGGGCCACCAGGCAGGGCCACCAGGCAGGGCCACCAGGCAGGGCCACCAGGCAGGGCCACCAGGCAGGGCCACCAGGCAGGGCCCGCCAGGCAGGGCCACCAGGCAGGGCCCGCCAGGCAGGGCCACCAGGCAGGGCCCGCCAGGCAGGGCCACCAGGCAGGGCCACCAGGCCCAGGCAGGGCCCCAGGCAGGCACCGGCAGCGGGCCACCAGGCAGGGCCACCAGGCAGGGCCCGCCAGGCAGGGCCACCAGGCCCCGGGCGCTTCTCGCTCAGCACTGGAGGTTGTTCGATGGGCTTTGATTTAGTGAGGGGCCGCACGCTACGCCTCGCCTCGCCTCCGCGTCGTGGGAGGAAGTTCTGTGCAGAATAAACGCACGCACCGCTCACTGCCACAAGTGTATCCGGAGGACCTTGACGAGACTGATGAGACAGGAAACCTCATATAGCACGCGTGGAGCACCGCACAGGTGATATGCTAATATGGCCTGTCGGGAATTGGAATGTAACTCAGGCAGTGTGTGCGAGAGGGAGAGGGAGGGAGAGAGAGGGAGAGAGCATCCACGGAAGGAATCTTGGTCCCACCACTGTCTCCCCACAAGGATCTCATCCCAGATCCGAGGTGTCACATCCGTTGAGGTGTGAAGCCACCTTTGACGCAACGGGTCTGTGTGTGTGTGTGTGTGAGAGAGAGAGGGGGGGGGGCATGGCGTCGGTGATGGGAAGCGGTGCTCAGAAGGGTAAGGCTCGGCGTTAGGGAGCATTCGGCTCACCCGAAATGCAAGAGGCAGGATCACACAGGCATTTCAATTGTCGCCCCAACCACCGCCCCACCCCGCGCACACACTACCCTCGCAGACAAGCCTCCACACTGCCGAAGGACTCGCGCGATTGGAGCTGGCGCTGGTTTGAGCGCGGCTCCTGAGAGAAGTCACAAACAAAAAGTCAGGCCTGGTGGGGCGTTGTGGAGGCAAGACCCTAATTTGCTTTTGTTGTTGCTTTTTTTTCGTGGGGCGATCTATACGCAGTGGAACGGCGACGGCCATCCCCGAGCCCGGAGGGCGCTCCCCGGGCCCACGTCGTCGCGACGCCAGCTCGCCGCCTTAACGCCGCGCCCTCACGCGACGCCATGCCGCGCCGTGCCGCGGTGCGTACGGGACGAAAAGTGCGCCTGGCCGAGTGGCCGCCGCGGCGAAGGCAGACGAAGGCATCTCGCCGACCCTCGGCCCGGCCGCCCCGGCGGAGGGAGCGAGACAAAGGAGTGCGACCCAAACACGGCCGCAGGCGGGCCGCAGCGCCGCAGAGGCCACAGGGCCGAGGCACGGCGGCAGGGCTGGGGAGGCTCAGCGGTGCGACCGCAACCGACAAAGCTGTGCCGAGCTGTGCCGAGCTGTGCCGACCGCATGCAGGCAGTCGTGATCCGAAAGCACGAAGCGGGGCGCGGCAACGGCTTTCAATGTCCGCGCAGGGCATCCCAGACGCTCAGAGCACGCGCTGTTCTCCGGAGTTACTTCCCATTCATTTCCCGTTCCTTCACAAACGAACAAAAACTTTAAACGCCTTGCGCTCTTGTTGAAGCGTTCTTAGTTCCTTTATGCATTTAGATGAGGCACCTGCGACGACCTGCGCGCTTCAAGAAAAGCGCCAGGCCAGTAAAACACATTCACGCCTAAGTCTTGCCAGAGTAATTGCGAATTAATTGTTGATAGACCGAAGCGTGATTGATGCGAGCCCCGCTCCCCAGCCAGCTCATGTCGCGTGCAACCGAGTGCCTCACTTCCCGCTAGCATTTTCATGAAGCTAATCCCGGCTGCTCCGGCGCTGCAGAGTTCATCTCCCATGCGGGCCGAGTACTCGGGGCCCGGAAACTGATCGAAACACGGAAACCGCCACCTCGTCTCCTATGCACACCGGAAGGAGGATTCAACGCGCTCCTAGCAGAGAAGAATCAGCTTTTCCGCTAACAAATAGTATGGACAGTCCGCGACAGAGTTTTACAAATCACCTTAACTTTAAACTGTTTTGCAGAAGGAAGCACTGCCGTCGAACTGCTCAAGTAAAATGCCTTTTGCTGTTTGTCTGGAGCGGTCTTATCCACGCACACAAACACGTCATTCACAGGGCACCGTCGGGCTTCCAGTTCAGCTTTTCCTGCCGGTGTATATTTAATCGCATCCTCATTCTCCCTTGTCGTTCCCAGAAACGGCCAATTTAACTCCCACCGTACGTATTTCCATAATTCAGTGCGGCTTCCCAAAACCCAGGGCTCCCTTCCGTCAGTACCAGAGGCTACCTGCCCCCCCTTCCCCCCGTTCACGGGAGGTATCACTGCATGCTTGACATTACCAACTGACATTTCAAGCTAACGGTCAAAACATGGTGCATCGGCCGGCCGTCATGACGCACAGGGAGTACCCGCACCAGCTTGGGACTTTTGCGATTGTTTTTTGCGCCGTGCTTTTCACGTCAGAGCGCGCGAGTATTTTTGACATTCAAATTATGTGGCCGAATTTCTTCACGCCGCGCCGCGGCAAAAATTATGTTCCACCCGCAGTTCCGCTGTGAAGAAAGAAGCGGGCGCGGTATTACGGTCACAAACAACGTGCGGGGGCCTCGGCCCAGCCCACCCCAGCCCGCCCTACCCCGCCCCGCCTCGCCAGGTGGAAGCGAAGTCCGTTCCGGGGACAAACGAGGCCCTACACTAGGACAGGCCGGCGTGCCGCCGTTCTCCGGCGTCTCCGTCCAGAACGTGCGGAGAGCCCCCAGCCGGGCGGCCGGATGGAGCCCCACGCCTACTGTGCCCGAATCACCGAGCCAAATCAACACCTTTAACTCTGCTTTCGGTACGGCCAAACAAACTGTTTGCAAAGGAGTGGAAAACATCGCTTTTTGCAGAGTCGAATGAAATCGTTTCCATTCCACAAACTTTTCTGTTTCCTCGCGAGAAGCGAATTTACTCTCCCCGATTCGCCACGCGACTCCATGCACACGAGAGCTTTCCACCACGTTCCCGACCCCCAACTTACGTTAAGTGAAAACCGACAACACTGTTCTAATCACACGCCTGAGCGGCGCGGCGCTCGCATCCTGTCTCGGCCTCGCCCTTGGTGCCGTCCTTGGCGTCGTCCTTGGTTTTGGAATCGGTCTCGGCAGTTGTCGCTGTCCATCGACGCGCCGTGACGCGACGTGACGCGACACAAGCGCAGCGCTTTTTACTGGCCCTGCTAATTTAAAAACTTTTTCAGCTAATGGCGGCGTGCGGCCCACAGTCGTCGTCGTCCACCCACACGCGTGCGCACACATTCATGCAAAGTGCTGCTTGATTAACTATTACCGAGTCCATTAAAACTTTGCGCCAAGATCGGCGCAAAAAAAAAACGGCACGCCGAAACGGCAAAAAGCAACATCAACACGACAGGCAGTTTCCGGTTCGATACGATATCTGCGCAGACCGACAGAAAATCTACGTGCCTCCGACCCCCTCATCACACACACACACACACACACGCACGCACACAGTCACACGCACCGCTACAAACGAAGGCAGCGACGCGCCTCGTGACGAAGGGAAAATAGGGCCGGCGAGCAGGCCGGGCGAAGGGGCTTTTGTTGTGTGTGACTACCGCGGACTGCCGGCACTGCACGCCGGGGGCAGGTATAACGATTCCGAGCATCAAAACCATCGCCATGGCAACGGTTTCCAAACGGAAATGGACTTTTTGTTGTTCATGGAGCCGCGGCCAGCCTAAGGTGCACTGCACGCTGAATGCCTGATTGTTTGCGTGGGTCTAGGCCCACCACCACCACCACAGGGACGAGGCGCAAATTTCCAAGAAGGGTGCACTAATTTATTCGAGCGGAAATGAACGTGTGGTGGGCATTGATGGAAAGTGACTGAGCAGCATTCCTTGGCGCGCCTCCGCAACAGGTCGGCGGGGGCACTGTGGGGGCAGGGGAGGGGCACAAACACTTTGAAAAATACATGTGTGTGTGTCCCGCACCGTCTGGCTGGCCCGAGCACGGCACGCGCGCCCAGGTTGGCTGCCTGGCTGGCTGCCTGGCTGGCTGCCTGGCTGGCTGCCTGGCTGGCTGCCTGGCTGGCTGCCTGGCTGGCTGCCTGGCTGGCTGCCTGGCTGGCTGCCTGGCTGGCTGCCTGGCTGGCTGCCTGGCTGGCTGCCTGGCTGGCTGCCTGGCTGGCTGCCTGGCTGGCTGCCTGGCTGGCTGCCTGGCTGGCTGTCTGACTGCCTGCCTGGCTCGGGCCGCACGACGCCACAGTCCAAACAAAATGCGCCACTTTCCCAAACTTTGCGGAACCTTCGTGGCGAAGGCATAAGCGGCGGGGTGTCTGAGACTAGCACAACAAACAGAGCCGAGTGGTTGGCCAACGACGTGCTCTTGCGTGCCACCCCGCCAGGCCACCAGTCCGTCGCAAGGTCGATGTTGCAGCCGGTGATCGCCAAGTAAACGCCCCCGCCTCGCCTCCCCCCGGGCTGGCGCAAGGCTCGCGGCTCTGTTGGCCGCGTGAAACGAGCGGCAACTTTTATGATGAACAGGTCGACAATAACCGGGGCAAAGTTGGCGGCCAAGTCGCGTCGCACGGCAGGCGCCAGGGCACGCCGGCACGCCGGCCGGGGGACTTGCACTCATCACCCGCTTGAGTCGTGTCGCCGCGCTCCGGGCGCCATCGAGACGTAGCGGCGCGTAGCGGCGTATCCAGTACCACACCACTG